GCTTTCAAGTTATCTCAGAAAAGAACCACATAGTTTCCCACCCATAGGGCAGGCATTCAATTATTTTATTTTGAACAACAACCTTTTCTTTTGAGAAAGAGCTTTAGCCTGAAATGACCTCAAGTTTTAGATCCACATGAGTCATGTGACAGAATGAAAAAGAAAGAGAGAGAGAGAGAAGACTTTAAACTAAATTTTACCAATTAATCCTGACAGGAATGACTTCACAAGGGCAGGCCTTCGATACTGTTTTAGGTAACCCTTTAAAGAGCACTTATAGAGTGATGTGGGGTGTGTTACACTGGGAAAATCAAGAATATCGAAAGTATGCACTGTATTAATTTTCCATGGCTGCTGTAACAAATTATGAAAAACTGAGTGGCCTAAAACAACACAAATTTATTATCTCATAGCTCTGGAGGTTAGAAGTTTGAGAAGCATCTCACTGGGCTAAAATCGAGGTGTCGGCAGGGCTGTGTTCCTTCTGGAAGAATCTGCTTTCTTGCCTTTTCCAGCTTGGAGAGGCTGTCTGCATTTCCGGGCTCACGGCCCCCTCTTCCATCTTCTGAGCCGATTGGGTCATTCTCTCGCTGCATTGCTCTGATCAACCCTTCTGCCTCCTCTTTCTGCAGTAGGACCCTTGTGACTACACTGGGTGCACCTAGATAGTGCAGGGTAATCTTATTTTAAGGTCAGTTGATTAGCAACCTTAACCCCATCTGCAACCTTAATTCCTCTTTGCCATGTAACCCAGTTTATTCACAGGTCCTGGGGATTAGGATGTGGACATTTGGTGTTGGGGGGTATTATTTGCCTACGTTATGGACCAGGGGGACACCCTCCCCCTCCCCCGCCAACCCTCCCCTAACGTGGTGTGAATGGCTGGTTGAGGCTTAGGATAAATTTCCTGTGACAACATCACGCTGCAAAGTGCTGTATGACAAGCAACACACATTATCAGTCAAGATTATCTGCTTGAAAAATTGTCTTAGATGACTCAGAAGTAATTTGTTAGATGCTAACCCTGATGATTAAGAAATGGAAAAGTTTCAATAAAGTTGTTTCATAAATTAGAGATTAGAAAAAGCAATATCTTAAAAGGATGTGTGTAAGTAATGAACTAAATATTTTAAACAGACATTTGACTATTTCTGCTAGATCCTTAAGGGTTATGCATTTGAGTTGGCCAAAACATTTATGTTTTCAATATTTTTATTGGAAAACAGGATCCTCTGATATTGGGGTTACCTTATATTTGGGTATATTTGATAAATATTTATCATAAAATTCATATATGCTCAAAATGAAAATTCAAATGGTTAGGAGGGTAGGTGGTAAAAAAATAAAGGTTTTTTTGTGTGTGCCCCAACCCCGCCCCAGTCCTACCCTGCAGAAGTAACCACTATTAACAGTTTCTGTGTATGCTTCCAGAAACGCTCTCTGCCTACGGCCTACGCGATCTGGCTCTTGTTTACTCTTCCTAACACTCTTCCCTCACTCTCTGTGCTCCAGACACACTGTCTGCTTTTTGTTTTTCCAAAACGTCTGGATCATTCCTGAAGCCCCAGGGCCTTAGCACTTTTTGTTTCCCTTCCTGGAATGTCTTGCCAAGATCTTTGCCTGGCCAGCGCCTTCTTGTCTTTCAGGGATCAGCTCAAAATTCCTTCCTCAGTGAAGCTCCTCCTTCTCCTGTGTATCCCCATCACACGGTCCTGTTTGTACCCGTCAGCTCAGGTGGCCATGACAAATTACACTAGGCTGAGTGGCTTCAACAGCAGAAACTTATTTTCTTACAGTTCTGGAGCCTAGGAGTCTAAGAGCAAGATGCTGGCCATTTGGTTCCTCAGTAAGGCCTCTCTTCCTGGCTTGTATGTGGCCACCTTCTCACTGTGTCTTCATGTGGCGGAGACTGAGAGAGAGGAAGCAAGTCTCTGGAGTCTCTTCTTATAAGGGCACTGGATCCCATCATGAGGGCCTTCAGCTAACTGTAATCACCTCCCAAAGGCCCTGCCTCCAAACACCATCACACTGGGGGTTAGGGCTTCAACATATGAAGTTAGGGGTGGGGGGACGACACAATTCAGTCCATAGCATCGCTCTAGTTCTCGTAGAACACGGAATGTGACACGGTAACGAGGAATGTTGCTAGCCGGAATTAGCGTCTACTTATTTGGCGTTCATGGCATGTGTCATATCTGATGAAAGTCAACTTCACCAGAGGGGACCTTGTCAGTCTTTTCCAACGCTCTCCGTCTTTGAGCTTCCATGAGCTGTCCCAGGAGAGCACCAGCCCTCAGAAGAAACTATGATGGATTTTACTGCCATGTTTGCCAAAAAGACATCTCAGAACCTCTTGACTACTTGTAGACTTTGTCTGCCTTCTCCACAACAGAGTAAAAGGAATTATAACAGGTACAGTTAGGTGTTGAGAGCTGCTGAGGTTAGAAGCACTCACCAGAATTGTTTTTCAGAGCTGTCTTATTAAACTTTATAAAGTGAACACATTTGCCTGGTTGACACCCCAAGGCACTGCTTACCTGGTCAACCGTGTGAAAAATGAGTGTTGAGGATCTTTCCCTGGTTGCAAGTCCACATGATGGTAAAGAGATAAAGGCTCAGAGAGGTTAAGTGACATACTCAAGCTCTCACAGCCAGTAATAGAAAGAGCCGGGGTTAGAATCCAGGTCTTCTGATCCTGATGGAGAGCTTCCTCAGGACAGACTTGCTGTCCCCTCTCCTTTTAGTTGACTGGCCCTCCACCAGCCAGCCTCCGCTCAGACGGAGTCCCAGGCAGTTAGTATCAGAGGCCATCCCTTGCCACCAAAGGGAAGTGGGACAGAAGAAAGTCCCAGATGTGTTCCCCAGTGAATGTGTCTGCTCATTGCTGAGTTGCTGGGTGGAGGTAGGCCTGAGTTACAGGCTTGTGTTCAGGGCTCAGAGGACCCTGTTCCCTTTAGTAGCTGTAAACATGAGGTTATGGCAAGAAAAACTGAACATAGTACAGAGGAAAAGAGTGAACTGAAACAGGCTCATCCACTCAGCTGCCTGGTAGGGCTCACTAGGGACTCAGGCTGTTTCACCTGAGATGCCGAATGAAGCATGAGGCCCTCACTCAAGGTCTGCCTCAGTAAATTTTCACCATTCCTGTTGAACACTCCCAACTAAAAGAATATTCATTAGAGAATAAACTTTTTAAAATTTACAATTAAACAAAAGGAAGGCAGGTTGCATTCAGTATCAATTTGTTTTTAGGAGAGAAAAACCTACAAATCAAGCAAAAGACATCTTCCTCAGGAGCGTTCTTCTCACCTGAAAGGCACAGTGAGAAAGGAATGAAGTGTGCATTGAATCCGAAGCTTGGGTGAGGCCTCTCAGCCTTGGGACAGACAGCAGCACAGCCAAAGGGCCTCGAGAGAAACGAGGACTGAGTTTTGAAAAGCCTTCTGTGGCCATTTGCACTCAGGTACGTCACATAAAGTTCTCGAGGCCTCTGCTGGGGTCTACTGTGGGGACACTGGAAGAGCTGGAGCAGTCCCCAGCCTGAAGGCCTGGGCCTTGGGGTTCCCCTGTCCTCCGCACGCCTACCTGCCTGTCTGAGGGGCAGAGCCCCTGCTGGGCAATGGTAATGCTCCTGGCTGCTGGGGCCTCTGACATGACTCTAACACCCCACTTACTGCTGATGGTAGCCCACTCCCATCTGCTTTCCAACTAAGGATTTCTATGGTCACCCTATTCTGAACACAGATGTGAGAGAAAAGGGCTGAAGAGGTGGTGGGAGGATGTGTTTTAACAGAATACCGTAGACGGGGTGGTTTATAAACAACAAACGCTTATTTCACACAATTCTGGAAGCTGAGAAGTCCAGGAATAAGGTGCTGGCAGGTTCAGTGCCTCGTGAGGGCCACCTTCCTGGTTCATAGGTAGCCCTCGTCTTGCTGTGTCCTCATGTGGCAGAAGTGGGGAGGAAGCTCTCTGGCGTCTTGTTTACAAGGGCACTAATCTCATTCCTGAGGGCTGCACCCTCATGACCTAGTCACCTCCCAAAGCCCCCACCTCCACATACCATCACATTGGGCATTAGGCTTCAACATGTGCACTTGGGGGGGGTGGGGCACAAACACTCAGTCCATAGCAGGGGCGTGGAGAAGGCAGTGGAAGGGAAGCACAGTGAGCAGGTATTGGGGAGGGCCACTTGGGAATGAATGGAAAGGTGTATGGCACACAGTGGGGGTTGCTTATTAAGCTTTCCATGGCTTCATAATTGGTCCCAATTCTTCACTTTTCCTTGTCCTCACACTCTGTGTCATGTGACTTTGCAGCTCCTCCCACTAGTATATTTCATCATCCCTGACTTTGGGTTTGGCCATATGATGAGATTTGAACAACAGAATGAGACAGAAGTGACAGTGTTCCCGTCCTGAGCCTAGACCTTAGGAGTCCTTGCATGACTCTGCTAGCATTCTTGCACCTCAGCCACTGCCATGAGAGGAACATTCCTCAGTGGCCTGCTGGTCCTAGGAGAAGGGGAGACGTGTGGCACAGAGCCTAGTGATCCCAGTGATCCACAGTCATGTGAACGAATTCAGCTGACATCATCAGAACCACCCAACTGAGCCCAGCTGGATCAGCTGACCTCCAGACACGTGAGAATTAGTAGCAGACTGCTGTTTTAAGCCACTGAGTTTTACTGGAGGTTTGTTACACATTAGTTAATAGTTAACTGGTTCATCTACCTAACAGACACAACCCCTTTCTTCCTTGTTATAGATCCTGATTTCGTGAATGGTGGCACTGCACCATTATTGATTTAGGCTGATCACATCACAGAAAGTATATGTTTGCTAGAAACTTTCTTTCCCAGACTTCCTTGCAGCTAGTGGTGACTATATGAGCTAGTTCTGGCCAACAAGACAGAAAGGGGAATCTTATTTCTGGGAAAGAATTTCCTCCATGATAAAAACAAAGCCCTTTTCTGCCCATCCCTTTCTTTCCAGCTTTGGTAGTGGTATGACTATATGATGTGTGGAACTGTTGAAGCCATCTTGTCACTATGAGGTCACAACTTCAAGGATGAGAGGCCCACACACTGTGGATGCCCAAATAGAAGGATGAGAAAAGCCTGGGTTTTTGATGGCATTGCTGAGCTTCAGAACAAACCCTAGGCTCACCTATCTCCAGCCTCTCATCAAGGAAAACAACAATTGTCTTTATGGTTCAAATCACTGTAAGTCAGATTTTCTGTTATGGCAGCCTAATGCATTCCTGAGTGCCAAGGAATATAGTGAAGGTGGAGGAGTGTGGACGATAAATGAGGGAAATGTGTGTCACAGTGCTGTGAAAAGAACATTGTACTGAGAACTGAAGACTTTTTCCTAATTAGCTGTGTAACCTCAAGTAATTCACTCCCCTCTCAGGGCCACAATTTCCTCTCCCGAGAGAAGAAGGCATTTAAGTAGATGAACTCTAAGGTTTTCATGGTTGGAACATTGACTCTAAACATACAGTCGAGTCTCTGGGTGCCCTAGCTGGGCAAATATTCACAGAAGATTTTGGAGAGCTATTAATTATGCCCAAGGAAAAGATTGCGAATAGCTGTTCTATAGTAAATGCTTAGCTCTGGGCTGGTAAATAATGAGTTTCTTTTTCATTTCTCAGTTCTTGTCTAATATAAGTCTTACCTGCTCCAGGGGACTTTCATCCGATGCTCATTAGATGCCTCTTTAATACAAAATGATTTGCATGCAAGGAACAAATGCTTCCTTTTCAGGAGCAGGTGTTGTGGGGTGAAGAGAAACACTCTGGTTAATCCTCATCATCCAAATTCACAGAAATTTCTGGTATCCTGGGCAGGTTTGACACCATTCTGGGGAGAGAATTAAGGGGACATATCTTCTGAATAAATTAGTCTATTTATTCAGTTTCTGGTTCTGCAGAATAGAGCTTTGGCAGGATCCCAGGGAACCATCAGCGGGGGAAAAAATCTCCTTATTTTCTGCTTTAGCCTACAGCATTTTCCTGCCCAGACTCTGCAAAACGGACTTGCCCAGCTCTGCAGCCTCCTCCAGCTGCCACTGTTTCTCTCTGGCCTTCTGGTCCCACATGCCCCTGGCTCAGTCAGATTTCTTCAGTTCTTTTATTTTTCTCTCAAACCGTCTTTCTTTAATTTCTCCTTGCTCTTCACCACAGTGATATCCTTTAAGCTTTTTCCTTTCCTTCCATTTCCTCCCATTTTCTCTTATCCCTATCACTTTCTCCTCCTTTCTTCATCTACTGCTATGTTCTGAAAGGCTTCTTGGATTTTTGAGTATGGATGTTTCTAAAACCTAACACAAACTCTGGGAGTCATGGCTGTCTGACGTAATCCTACAGGAGTATTTCACCAGCTACTATTTTCTGTTCAAACAGGGGCAAAGCAGTGGAGACCACCTGAGTGGGGGAACTGCATTTATTCATATACACATTTTACAAACCTTTCTTGAGGATGACTGAAATTCTAAATCACTTAGCTAAGAACCATAAGGGGAGACAAATTACCTTATGCTCATACGTGTCATATACGGAGCTTCCATTGAGGAGGAGCAGGCGGGAATTGAAACAGGAAAAATTTCCACTTATAGCAACACATGCCCTAGGAGATATCACAATTAAATATTGTGTTTCATCATAACTGATTCTAAGCAGCTGAAGTGGACCCAAACGCCAAACCCCCACTGGACTCAACTAAAGACTCTTTCCTCAACAATGAACGATGGATTTGTTTGAACCAACCAGGTACAGACCTTTAGATTAATTTCTGGAGTGCTGGTTTTCGAGCCTTAATCATTGTGAGCCCCTCTCCAAGATTAAACATCCCCGACTCTCCCTCCTCGGCTGACTATTCAGTGAATTTCTTCACTTGTGCGTGTTTCCTCGCCTGGCGAGTCAATAAACGTGGCTTTGTGGCTTTTATTTATTTTATAGCTCTGATAGTCTTCGTCTTATTATTTTTCAGAATATAGACTGCAGGGGGTATGAAGCACATAATGTGTAACCTCTGGTAGCAACACATAAAAACTTCTGAACATTAAGAACAACTAAATGAAAAACAACCCAACCAAAACAACAAACCAATAACAGCAGCAGTAAAATACTAACAGCAAATCTCACTCATCGGACAGGGTCTTGCCCGTAATAACTTCCCAGTGCGGGTCATTTCTCTCCAGGAGTGGGTTTCAAGTGGACTAAGCCGATTTCCACAGTGGTCCAATCTAGATCTGAATATTGCTTCTAGATGCTTGTGTGGCCTCTATGTTTGGTTTAACATTCAAACTTCAGCAGACTGATAAGGAGCTAAGACCATAATTTTAACAAGAATTACTCACCTGTTACTTTTTAATTTTTGTACTGCTGCAAAGTTTGGTTAGTTCGGGTAGGAGTTGTGCATCTTTGACTCTTGTGCTGATACCTAGTTTTTCTCAGAAAAATCCTCCCAGTAGTTGAGTTCATTTTGTTTCGTGGTCTCATTAAAGAAACTCGGGAGATCTTCAGTTCCGCGTGGTGCTTCTGCAGCACAACTTTCAAACTCTGAGAATTATTGGAGTCCTGCACATCCTTCCTCACTGAAAGAGACATCCAGCACTTTCCCCTAAGTGTACTTTCCTCCCACATCCATCCTCAGGATGCTGTTATGATTTGTTTTCCCCCACATGACAGATTACTAATGTACTACATATTTGTGAAGGGAATTTATTGAAAATGTAGCAGAATCTATTTTATGTCCTGCTTACTGTAGCCTTAAAGTATTACAACCCAATTGTGTTTCTGCCTCTGGAGGTCCCGTCTTTTAGGGATTTTGGTCCGTAATATAAAGTACATAATGCTTTGCTTGTCCTAAATAAGATTGGGATCCAATGTCTTTCATGGTGACCTTCTCTGTTCCTCCCTTATTGTCATCTTTAAGTAAATGTTTATTCAGTGCCTACCACTCAGGGCTTTATCTTGGGCATTTACAAAATGGTGTTTGAATACATTTCCCCTGGCTTCTGGAAGCTCAAGTTAAGCCATCTTCCCTTCTCTCTCCCTCAAACCTTTATTAACAGGCGGAAGAATGTATGTAAGAGGGATCCTTTGATAACTCGAGAGACAAGCCAGAGCAAAGGCCCCACCAAAGAATGAATGTATAAGGTTTCTTGCAGGATGCATCAGTTATTAATTGCTGCGTAACAAACCACCCCAAGACTTAGTGGCTTGAAACACCAATCAATGATGTGTTAACTCTCATGATTCCTAGGGTTGGAAATCTAGGCAGTTCTGTTGCTTCTCTTGCAACAAGAGTTGTAAGAGTTTGGGGCTGGAGAATCTAAGATGGCCTCACGCCCTGTCAGCAGTTGATGCTGGCTGTTGGTGAGGCATCTTTATTCTCTTTTGCAAGATCTCTCATCCTCTAGTAGACTAAAATGGGCTTTTTCACAGCAGGATGGTCTCTCAGGGTCTTAGGGCCTAGGCTCTGGAACTTGTACAATGCTACTCCTGCCACATTCTATTGATCCCAGGTCCCAAGGACATTTCACATTCAAGGGATGGAGAGGTAGACTCCACCCTTTGGTGGGAGGACCAAAGGGACCTAGACCCAGGGAAACTTGATTCATTGGGAACCATTATTGTAACAATCTATCACAGCAGAAGTGGGGTCAGAGGAATGGGGATGCAAGGTAGGGCTGGGAAGTAGAAGGAGGAGATTTTAAGAATAAAGATGAAGATTTCCCTTGGAATCTTTCTTCTTGTCTTTAGTTATGGAATTCTGTGTGTCAGCAAATGGTAAGGTTGTCCTGAGTTATTTGTTTCTGGGGATGTAGACCCAAGACTACGTATTAGTGAAGGAAAAATGGTGGATGCCTATAATTTTATTAAAGTTTGGCATTGACGGGATAATATATAAAACGGAAAAGCAGAATAAATTAGAATATCAAAGAGATGAGGGGAAACAGATGTTAGGAAATTATATACACATCCCAGATTACATGTACATATTTGAATAAACATATGAAAAGCTTTCTGATGTAAGATAACTTTAATTTTATGATTGAAGCTTTTAAAGATGGTTTTCCTTTCTGTAGCCCTGCAATTAAGGTAGGCTGTCACGAAGTGATGGGCACTTTAAGTGAGAGCCACATGGGTCCTTTTATCCAAATCTCTGAGAGTCTTAATTATGAATTTCTTATATTTAACTAGGAAACATGTAAGTCTTTATTAAAGGAATTGAACCCAAAAAGCCATTTTCAGTTTTTTAAGCTGAATTTTAGAAATAATTCTCATAGCACAATTTTGTGCCTTTTATTGTTTTGCCAAGGAAAGTCTGCTGTGAGCTAACATTTGCTGCTAATCCTTCTCTTTTTATATGTGAGCCACTGCCACAGCATGGCCACTGACAGATGAGTGGTGTAGGTCCATGCTCGGGAACTGAACCCAGGCCACTGAAGCAGAGCTGGCTGAACTTAACTACTAGGCAACCAGGGCTGGCCTAGTTTTGTAACTTTTTCATCAGCTTTTATCTTTCCATTTATTCATTTCCTCTGAATGTAAAATCAATAGCTTTTCCAGGCAGCTCCGCTTTTAGTGGCTATGATCATCTTTCTGTTGTAGCCTCAGGGACACTGAAGAGGTTGTTGGACTTAATTAAAGAGATGGCTTTAGTTTATCTTTCCAGCATACTATGTCTCCCTTTTCTTTGTCTACATTTAGAGGGGGAAAATATAAAATAAAGCGTAGAGGTAAGATGACACAGAGATCATAATGTGTCTCTATTCACTGCCAGTTCACCCCTGAGTTTTTATGTTGCAGAACTTCCTCATCTCTCTCTTAATTAACTTCTGTAACTGGAACTAGCATGGTCTGAGTGAAACATAGGCAGCTGACTCTCTCCTTCTCTTGTAACCAATACCCACTTCCTTATAAACGGGCATAGCTTCAGGCTGCCATAGAAACTTTCCTGGTAGACTTAAAATAATTTTTAGCAGTTTGTCATCTACAGAGATTGGTACAGTGACTTAAACCACGTTCATTATATTAACGCCATCTTGATTTCTTGAGCCAGGGCCACTCAGAGAAACAAAAAAATAAACAAGAAGATAAAAATCGCTCCCTTAGAGAGGATCTGCTTAATTATGTCTCAGGCTGAGCCATCTCTTTGAAGAATATTCTAGCATTGGCTCTAAAGGAGCCTCCCTAATCCTCTTCCCCGACAGTCCCTTCAAATTACATGAACAACTGCCCTCTTCACCTGTCGACCAAAGGCAACAGGGCATATCCATCTCCAGTTACCCTGTGGGGGTTGGGCGTTGGTAGGGATTTTGTCCCCAGCACTCCATGTGCAGGTGTTGGAGACGCTTCTTATTTCCCAGTTCTCTGGAGGGAGTGTTGGGAGCAGTTAGCCTCAGCCGAATCTCAATTATTCAAGATCAAAATGAAAAATCTGCTCAGTCCTGAGTTACTGAAGTTGGATGAAAGTGAAGTCATCACCAGGTGCAACATCTGGTCTTCCGGTCCCAGGGCCTCAAGCAGAATGTTACAGTCTCTGAAGCTTAATGATTTTAGCATTTCATGTAACAGCTTAGGTTTTGCACTGCCTGAACTCAATTAATTTCCACAGCCCACTGTGGAGGTGAAGACGGAAATGCCGCAAATTTCTGCAATGGATGCAACATCCTGTCATTGGTCAATTATTTGCATAAACACCTAAACTTTGCCTGCAATTCCAGGGGACACAGGGACCTCCTGAAGTGTCTCTGGTCTGTAGATCAGGTAGGTGGGCAGGTCCTCGCTCCAGATTATCAGTTGTCTCAGCTGGTCATTTGGAAGACATTGCAGGGCAAACCAGGCATTGTTGAGACTGACAGCATGTGCCTATATGGCAGAACTGTCTGCTGGTGGGCAGAAAGAACACAGCTCTAGAGAGCAGGCATGTAGATGACACCCCCTGGTGTTGGTGAGGGAGGAGCAGCAGGCACACACTTAAACTGCTTTGGGGGCTGTGAGCAAGAACATTTCTTCAGGGCACTCAGGCAGTATAGCATCAGGTGGCTATATATCATTACTTTAATTGGCTGTTTAGGGTTTCATTGTACGGATATGCTATAATTTATTTAATCAACATTTAAGTTGTTTCCAATTTTTCACTATTATAAACAGTGCTTAATGAATATCTTTATATGTATTTCTCCGTGAATTTGACCCATTATGTTGTTGGAATAAATTCCCATGGATAGAATTACTGGGTCAGACTTTAAAATGTGGATATATAGTGTTAGATGACCACCTAAAAATTTGCATACCAAGATTATAAATCAATTACCTATATTTCCTTTCAGTATTTTAACTAAAATGTATATTTTTGCATTTAGATATTTGCTCCCTCTGAAATTAATTTTTGTGGTAGAAATGTATCGTTTCTATTTCTCCAAGTGATTAAGTCAATTTTCCCAACTCATTTTGTTGAATGGTCCACCTTTATCGCGTATCAAATTCTCATTCATGTATAATCTGTTTCTGGGTTCTGTACTATTGAGCTTTCTGTTAATTCCTGTATAAGGCTTTACTTTTTATACTTGTAGAGTAGCTTTTAATGTCTAGTAGGACAATACTCCCTGGTTATTTTACCTGGTTATTCATTCATGCTTATTCTTTCAGAAGAACTTTGAAATCAATTTTTTTTTTCTCTATCAAAGGAAGAAACCCTAAAATTTTTTGACTGGGAATAGCATTGAATTCACAGTTCGATTTCAGGAGAATTGTTATTTTTACAACATGGAGGACATGTTCAAAAGTAGAATTTATTTTTCCACTTTATTCAAATATCCTGTGTCCCTTGGTTGAATTTTAAACTTTATTCCTAGAAATTTTATATCTTTTTGATTGCCTTTATTAAAGGGCTATCCCCTCAGGTTACAGCTGTCTAGCTTGTTCCACTGAAGTGGGTTAAT